ACACACACACACACACACACACTGCCTCACTGCCGTCAAGTCGGATCCAACTCATAGCAACCTCTCCTTGGGTTTCCGAGGTGGTATCACTATGGAAGTAGATCGCCTAATCTTCCTTCTAAGGAGTGGCTGGTGGATTTGAACCACCAGGCTTCTGCTTAGCAGTCAAATGCCTTAGGCACTGTGCTAGCAGAGCTCCTACATACACACACACACCCCTTATTTATTCATTCAACATATTTCTTGCTCAATCAAGAGCTCTTACACACAAAGCACAATTTCAAACCCTGGAATTTGATTGCTTAATCGGATTCCACCATTCTCACATCCTAGATGGATCTGTAGGAGCTCTGGCAGCGAGCGTAGCACCTAAGGCACTGGACTGCTAACCAGAAGGCTGGCTGTTCAGACCCACCAGCCTCTCCTCGGAAGGAAGATGGGGCAATCTACTTCTGTAGTGATACTGCCTCAGAAACCCAAGGAGGGGTCGCTGTGAGTCGGGTCCCACTCGATGGCACATAACAACAACAAGAGATAGATCTGTAGTCACTGCTTCCAGTTCTGTAGGAAGCTTCTTCTTTAGAGAGATGATGACAGGAAAGAACCTAGGCCTTCATGGTATGGAGGAAGAAAGAACACAGAATCAGTATTTGGGAGATGTTGTGCCTCAGCTGTGTCATAAGTATGCTAAATGACCTTGGCCAACTCAGTGAAAGTTCTGGAGGGTCTGTTTCTTCATTTATAAGTTGGATATAATGACCTCTGCCTTCTTCCTCTCACAGGATGTTGTGAAAATTAAAGGACCATAAACTACTTTGGAGAGTTTAAAGTACCTCACACATGAGAAATGTTCATTAGACAGTAAAAACTGGAGTGTTTGGGATATCTATGGAAAAAATATCAGCAGCTTAGGAAAATCGAAACCCAAAACATATCTGACAATTCCAAAAATAAGTCCAGGACACCCTATCACCCATCTAACCATTCAGGCTTGTGGGAGTTAGAGCTTTGGGGCTGGGGGGACTTACCTTATCTTGGCCCATCCTGAATATTAGTCTGTAGAAGGAAATGTTACAAAGAAAGTTTGAACAGAGGTGGCTTTTATGAAAATGAATTGTTTTGGTAACCTCTCCTTACGGGACTATTCAGTCCACCTCATTTCTACACTGATGGGACTGTTCATCTCCCTACATTTCCCTCAGGGAAGGATGTCTGCAAATCAACCCACCATGGCTGCGAACACACTTGTGTTAATAATGGCAACTCATACATCTGCAAATGCTCACAGGGATTTGTTCTCGCTGAGGATGGAAGACGGTGCAAGAGTAAGTGATCTGAATTGACTCTCTGCTTTGATTTTGTTTGGAACAACTGCTTTGCAGTGTATTTTCAGGAAGCGAATCTCTCCTGTCTGTTGCTCCTGTGAAAGTAAATGATTATCACTAATTACAGAATGGGAGCTCTGGTAGCACAGTGCCTAAGGCACTTGACTGCTAACCAGAAGGCTGGCAGTTCAAACCCACCAGCCACTCCTCGGAAGGAAGATGAGGCAATCTACTTCCGTAGTGATACTGCCTCGGAAACCCAAGGAGGGGTCTCTAGGAGTCGGGTCTGACTGGACGGCACACAACAACAGCAACAACAACAATTGCAGAATAAGGAGCTTTGGTGGTACAGTGAGGAAAGCATTTGGCTGCTAACCAGGTCAGTGGTTCAAACCCACTAGCTGCTCCTCTGGAGGAAAATCAGGTAATCTACTTCTGTAAAGGTTTACAGCCTTGGAACCCAAGGGAGGTTGCTATGAGTCAGAATCAAGTCCATGGCAGGGTATTTGGTTTTGGGTTTTAATTACAGAATGGGGGAGAGAAAACTTAACGGCATCTTAACTACAGCTTGTTTTAGTTGACAGTAGGTCATTATCAGACAAAAACTAGAGTAATTTTAGGCTGAATAAGAATATCTAGAATGAGGGGGTTAGGAACTGTGCTGTACTGTGTGCTGGAGAATTATATTCAGTTCTGGATGTCGTACTTTTGGAAGAGAGAGATGGATCAAAAATTTAAAGAAAAATGTAAAACCACAAAGTAGCAGAAGGAATCTTTAGAGAATTATTTCAGAGTAGAGAACTTTCTAAGCTTCACTTGAAACACAGAAGCTGTCAAGGAAAAAAAGTATGTGTGGGGGATAGAGAATAAGAAATTAAAACTTCAGTACAGGTTTTGCCTATCAGTTATCAGAGATCAGAAAGCTTGATGATTCCTTATATTGGCAATGGTATGTTGTAACAGGCAATTATGAATTATCGATGGGTGATGAATTGGTAAAACCCTTGGGAGGTTTGCATCTCTCTTAGGAAGGTAGTTTGGCAGTGTTGCATTTATTTATTTTAGTAACACCACTCAGCAAATTTATTGGAAAACATTTAAGTAATATGTTGAAAGCTAACCAAACCAAGAAAACCTTATCATTCTTTCTTTCTTTTTTTTCCCCCTACCCTCTAGTTAGTGCTTTACCCTCCCTTCCTCACCCACCCCTGATAACCATCCAAGGAAATTACTTTTTGTGTGAAAGTGTTTCTTGACTTTTTACAATAGTGGTCTCATACAACATGTGTCGTTTTGTTATCGACTGATGTTACTCAGCGTAATGGCCCCTAAGTTCATCCTCATTTCGTAGATCCGTCTTGGTTCTTTAACATAGTACACTTTAACGTCATGTGGTATTCAATTACATGAATGCACCACGTTTGCTGATCCATTCCTCCACTGATGGGCATCTAGGTTGCTTCCACCTTTTTGCGAATAATGCTGCAATGAACATAGGTGCGCATTACTCTGTTCGTGTCACAGCTCTTATTTCTCCAGGATATATACCTAGTAGTGGGATTGCCACATCATATGATATTTCTATTTCCAGTTTTTTTCACAGTCCCACCAGCAGTGTATGAAGGTTCCAGTCTTTCCACACCTTCCCTAGCACTTGTTGTTTTTTGCTTTTGAACTTTGCTATTAGTGCTGGGGTGAGATGATATCTCATTGTTGTTTTGATTTGCATCTCTCTGGCTCTACAGCAGTAAGTTTTTAATGGCTAATGATCATGGGCATTTCCTCATGTGTTTGGTATCTACTTGAAATGTCGCCTTTGGTGAAGTGTCTGTTCATGTCCTCTACCCATTTTAAATTGGATTATTTGTCTTTTTTGTAGCTAAGATGTTGAAGTTGTCTATAAATTTTAATGATTAGTCCCTTGTCTGATATGCTGTTGCCAAAATTTTTTTCCCAGTCTGTGGGTTCTTTTTTTACTCTTTTGGTGAAATCTTTTGATACTGAGGTCTCAGTCATCATCTTCTGGTGTTCGTGTGTTCTTAGATATGTTCTATAGTGTATTTGCGCCATGATTTAGGCACTTAGTGCCTAAGGCATCTGACTGCTAACCAGAAGGTTGGTGGTTCAAACCCACAAGCCACTCAGCAGAGCAAGACTGGGCAAATATACTTCCATGAAGATTTACCTCCTTGGAAACCCAATGAGGGTCGCTATGAGTTGGAATTGACTTGATGGCAGTGGGTTTGGTTTTTGGTTTTTAAGTTTGTCCCTATTTTGT